GAGACCTTTATTGCTGCTTCTGCGGTAGTTGTAGCCTACCCACCCATGGAGGGAGCTCTGGAGGGTGTTGAAGATCACTGAACTGTGCGCTACCAAAACAAGGCAGCTGTAAGATAAAGATACCAGTGAAAGCAATACGAAGGCTGGTCTTTCTGGTTTTGTTAAAATGCTCGTATAAAGAGGCATGTTGGCATTGGCTGCTATCCAGGCGTAGTGCAGGCATAGAAATTGGAGGAGAGTGTATACATATTTCAAATGTAGTTACGCCCTGAATGGTCAGGTCAGCAAACAATAGCAGGCTTGTCCTCTCCTATTTAGACCCGGTCACAACACTTTGGATGAAAGTCTTTTATTAGTAAGTAGTAGGGTTGGAGTGCTTTTGTAACTGGGATGGTCCAGCAAATGTATGAGAAGCCAGGGCTCTTTTGTGATATCTTGTATTTGGACCACCTGCATTGCTGGGAGAATTGTTGGGCAAGCTGCCAGGCACAAAATACCAGTCCTCATCCATGTGAGAAGCAAGGATTTCTTAGGGTGATGTTTTTTATTTATGTAGCCTACATAATTGGTCCAATAAAAGATATCACCCTAAGAAATCCTTTTCTCTCTCATAATTTCTGGACCATCATGGCTACGTCATTGTTATACTACCTTCTTCAGTAAGACCTTCAATATTTCAATAAGCAATTGTTTTACCTACAAGGGCTTTCTACCCCCTTCAATTTGCTGCCAACCTAAAGGGCCTATGTTGAATCTAGCCATGGCTTCTCCCTCTCCCTACCTTGCCGTTGGCGAGTTCTTCTCCTTATTGCTGAGAGCAATAAAGTGTCCTTAAAAACTGACTGAGGTTTTTATATGATTTTTGCTTGAAAATGTGAATAGACCAGAGGCTTGATCATGGCGGCTGTGTGCTTTACCAATACACCAGGGTACTGCGGAAGTTGTGAAAAGGATACCATTTTCAAGGAGTAAGTATAAAGGATCCAAGAGCTCGTGGCTGCTTGCAACACATAAGCCCTCAGGCTTTCTGCTTTGTGTCAAACGAATTTCAAGCGAGCCATGCAAATTCAGGATGTCCCTCCAGGGACCGGCTCCAAGATCTCCCCAAGTCCCTTGTGCTTATATAATTCTCGTTCCGCTGCCTCTAATCATGACTCTTATCACAAATGCACCAGCTCCGGCGAAGGACTTGAGAGTACTCAGTACTCAGCCCTGGACTGATATCAATACCCCTTGTTTTTAGCTTTTCCTCCCTTGATGTAATGGGAGTCTTCATCAGCGATCTGAGCATACAAGTCTTGGGTTGATGGTCTCTCTGCAGAGGCTGACTGCTTGATTTTTTTTCTTCCCCTAAAGCAGTACCCTGGGAGAGTGAATGGCACAGAGCAACTGAGGTCAATTTGTCCCTTCTTGCTGGAACAGCATCACTGCCTTAAGGGGCCGGAGAAAAACTACATATAGACTCACTAATGGAATAAAGGGGCAGCTTTGGAGGAGCTCAAACAAGAAGAGTCCAAGCCTGACCAAGAAACCTTGTTAAGGTAGATGCAGGGACATGCCAGCATGATAGGACCCAGCTCAGCCAACTTCTCTCTTAAAATCATTTGTTGTTTCAAACCAGTTCAGGCATGCATATCATTCATTTCAACACCCCTATTCATCGACTGTAAAAGCCAGCCACACTTGCATCCTTTCTCACCAAAGTCAGCATTGCCACTGATTGGACTTTAATCCAGAGTTAATTTCTATGGGTTTAAACTGTTTGTGCCAAACTCCAGGATGCACTGCCCTTGACACCTAAATGCCATTTATAACCAGTGAGCCTTTCTTCTGCCTGGAGTTAGCAACTCCTAATGAACAAATGGCACCTAAGCTTCCATTCAGACCATAATCCTTTAAGTTATCTGCTGTTAAATTAGAAAGGTTCATCACATTTGTTCCTTTCCAAATCAGGCCTGGTCAGCTTTTGCATCGCTCCTTAAATGGCCCCTGCTGGCTGGTCTGGCTAGCTACAGTGCTGAGATACCATGCAAGAGGGCATCGCAGCTGCACCTTGTGGGATTACCCCCCCAAGATAAATGCCAGATCATTAACGAAAATGCACACTGCGCGTTGTAGGAATGAATGCCCAAGTCAAACTGCCCAAGACTTGCCCTAGCAATGTGGTATCATGCTTGTGGTATGTGCTCCTGATTCAGGGGAGAATCTTGTCCTGCAATCCCTGCACATTTTAGGCTCGGCTTTTCATTGCAGGGGGCACTCCCACCTGCAGGTAGACAGCTCACTGCCTGGGATCTGACTACTCATGCTATTTGCCCTCAGATTGAGACATGGGAGAATCTAGGACTTTGAAAACGAGGGGGTGCAGATACTGTGGTGCATCATCACATATAACACAACACCATTTTTTTTCCAGGTGAAAAGAAACTAGAAGCTTTACTAATATGCTAGGGGCCTATGGCTGTATTATTCAAGTTAAGATCAAAGCAAAGCCAAATATCACTTTACTGGAATACGCAGTGATTCGCAATATTATAGATTACATATTAGAAAACACAGACAAAGCAAAAATAACCAAAAGAGGTTGCTGCATTAGACTTGTAGTCATTAGCATTCAAGGCACATCTCTTTCAGATTCATAAAACAAAATCCAGCTTTCCTGAGCATCTTGCCAGTGCATCCAATGCTTCACTGAAAGTGATTTCCACACCTGATTTAATGTTTTCAGCTAGAGTTAAAAAAAAAACATGCTTCAGGGCTGTGAAATAGGAGCTATATTACCAGGAGCAGCTAGCAGGCAGCTGAACTGCAAATGAAAGCATAAATTGAGTAGTGAAACATTAAGGCCATTTAAAAAGGAGAGAGAGGGTGGTTAATGCCTGTGGAGTGAAGAGTTTAGAAGGAATTAGGTAGATTATAATGGGCCGTGAAGACAGGTGACATCCTCAGCACTGCCTGGCTAAAAATACTGCTGCCCCTTCCAGGCAGTTTGGCTTTCAATTTTGGATGGACCAAGAATTACACCCCCTGGACACTCAAATGTCCTTTAAACCAGTGTTTCTCAACCCGTGAGTCGCCACCCCAAAGTGGGTTGCAAGAATATTGGAAAGGGTCATGAACAAACTTGACAAATTGATCGACAAACTTCAAAAATGGATTTTTTTCAAAAATTCTTTAAAAAGAAGAAAAATATGGAAAATGGCGGCTTTTCCCTTGCAGGCTGGCAGAGCTCCAGCCTGCAAAGGGCTGTTTGGGCCTGCCTTGCCCCACACACCCACCCCTGACCCACGTACTGGGAGGCACTGGGTCAGGACTGGCCATCGATGTTTACAAATGGGCCCTGGTACAAAAAAAGTTGAGAACCGCTGCTTTAAACCAATTTCAGGGCTGTTGTTGGTCTGTCTCAGGGGGCATTTATACACCTACTTTTCTGTCCCACAGTGCACTGCCAATTAATCGAGTCTGCTCCGCACGCGAGTGGATGCGAACTGCGCCACACCATGTGCAGTTGTAGAAGTGGCAAAACGCACATCAGTGCAAGGAAAGCGGAGGTGTGCGCTCAAACTAAAGCCCCTCCGATGTTTTGGTTCAAAAGTGCGCCGCCCCCATTTTCTCAGCACTGGTGTGCATCTCGTCGCTTATACAGCTGCGAGCACTGCAGCACCGGGCACTTGCATGTGGAAACATGCCTGGAGAGAGCGCCGGGGTGAAGCCTGGGCTCATGATGCACTGCTCGAAAGCAGTCGCCTGCTCCCCACTCTGCCAGAGCTGGGTATTCGTTTCCTCACTTGTATGGTTTGGGTTGACTTCACAAAGCTGGGCTTTGCTACCTGAGCAGCAGGGCTGAAGGGGCGGTCAGGGTGGAGACGCACAAGATGGGACAAGTTTCCATTATTAATTCACAGACCAACCCAGTGCATTAACCAGCCAGGAGTTAGTCCCCTTGTTCAGTCTCACCCAGAGGGTTTTGATCAGCCTGTAGGGTCCATGGGACAGCACATCACCCCAGGACTTTGCAAACGTGACTCTGCCCCTTACCCATCACTAGCTCCCCCACTCTCACGCATCCGCGTGCTTCGCAATCATTTCCCAATACCTGTTGGCTTAAAACACCATCTTAATGCTCCCAATGCTGCTTCTCTCAGGCCCAGACAGGGCGGTGTTTGCTACGGCTTTCTCCCCAGAAATACAGGATTACAATTTTAGGGTAACCCTAGCCGTCAGAAAGTTTTGGCCGGGTCTGATGAGCTGGAGCAAATCCTCCATCAACTCCACTTTTCTAATCCAGCAGGACCTGGAGAAGTTTGTGTCACAATGCTGAGCTCCGGGTGGAGAGGCAGGAAACATCATTGGAGCCCCACCGTGGCTTTCTGGCCTACGGGCTGGGATGCTGCGGACTCCGAAGGGACCGACTGGGGAAGGGGCGGCAGCGGGTTATTTGGATTACAGGCTTGCCCTGAGGAGCAGGCGGCGGGAGGACACGACTCTGCCAGGGTGAACACACCAGAAACCAAGCCAGACAGAGCGCTGCCAGGGCAGCACGTCCACGTCCACCGCCAGCTGTGCCAGGCTTCATGCCCACCAAGGGAAGAAGAGGGGGTGGACACGGCACTCCTCCCTAAAGAGCACGGGCCAACGCTTCCTTCTGCAAGCTGCAGCGCTGGGCCAGCTTCTCGCTCGGGGCTCCTCGGACTTCAACCCCCAGAGACACAAACGCCCTTTGCAAGGAGCCCCGGCCAGGCTCGGGGCAGCCAGCAGGCAGCTCCTGCCCCG